GAGGTCAGTTGGTAGCCCAGCGCAGTAGAAGTCAGCCAGTTCGTGGGGGGCGATCCCCACACCACGCTCTGCTACAGCCGCAAACTGGTCCGTGCCCTTCTTAGGGTCACCATTCCACCGTACTTTACCCAACTCCGTCAGCAGTTAACTCTGTGGCATTTTTTTGTCGAATTATTCCGGAAGCTGGCGCAGTACCGTCGCCAAGTCGCTTAGGTCGATAGTTCGCTGTAGATACATCCAACAAGTTAGAGCCGGACCCACAAGACGGTCGATGAGTGCGCTCCCCCACTCACTGGTCTCCATTCCCATCTGGTTGTACTGTAGTGCACAGGCACTACAATAGGGCTTGCTGGTGACCTATAGAAGATAGCTAGCTAGCGACGTACAAGAGGTCGCAACACTGGAGGACAGGACCCTCTTACTAGGATCAAAGTAAGGCAACTTGTCTGCGAATTAACATGCATACACTAGAGGTGCCTGAAAATGCGTGGAGACTGGGGCTGGCGATAGCGCCGGCACCAGTGCAGGCTCCCTCCCCACAGGGCCTAGGAGGCGAGCACCCTGAGTGGGGTGAATTTGAATGACAAAAGAATTTGGGAACTTATGAATAACTGTATTTCGATATATATAGGCTACTGTTTCAAGGAAATGGGCCAACGTTAGGGGCCGATCATAGGTCCTGCTCAAGGGGGCAGGTAGCAGCGTAGTCGCAGCAGTAGGCGCTGTGCACTACATGTACAATCGTTCGATACGCATCAAAAAGGCCTGCATGATGCTGCACTCTTCAGGGAGTACAGGCGCCGCTGCGGTCGATTCTCCAGACCCGCCTACAACATTCTTTATCACAGTCATCGCAGAGTGGAGTTGGCTCCACGTGACGAACGGACTGTTCTCTGGCATGCCGTTAACATTTGACATAGGTGCCACCTGCTGAAGTGTCTCCTTATTCCCGTGTGGCCGCTCTGCCACAGTGCGTTTCGGGGTAGCATGTCGAGGTTGGGTTGGTGTTCCACTGGGCAATTTGTTTACTGACATGGTAGAAGTACCCTGTTGCATAGGTCCGACTACGCGTCCGTTGCGTAGACGCATCCCTTACTCAGCCAAGATATCTAGGTGCGAATTATTAAGGCAAAGTATTTCTACCCTCAGGCCCGGAACAAATAGTTTTTAATCGCGGAGCAGCCCTCAAATGTAGTACACTGCGTTCTCTGCAGCGTGTACGATGCTGCACGACCCACAACTCTGGCGTTCAATGAAATCTTCTCTACTATCGACGCGTCGGTCTTGTGACGTCAACTAAATTATTAAAAAGAACATTTTGTTTCAAGTTCTCAAAACAATATTTCATAAAGACACTTCTCGTGGCTTTTGTTTTGCTCGTTCGGCGAAGAGGTGACGTGTAGAGCACAGCGCCTACTGCTGCGACTACGCTGCCACCTGCCCCCTGGAGCAGGGGCCTATGATCGGCAACTAACGTTGGCCCATTTCCTTGAAACAGTAGCCCGTATATAACGAAATATAGCTATTCTTGGTTTTTCCAAAATCTGTTATCTTCAAATCCGCCCCAGTCGGGGTGCTCGCCTCCTAGGCCCTGTGGGGAGAAGGTGTAGTGAACAGCTGGCCTACACTGTTACTACGTATGGTCCCTGGGCTAGTCTGACTAAGTGCACACTCTGCATCTACTATCTAAAGTCCATGATTCTCCCCAACTACTGCTGTATACCCTAAATGGCCATATACAACTGAGTTCATATTACTGAGAGGTGAGAAAACCCCAAAATAATAGAACTGACTGTTGACCCTCGCTGAGGGTCAGTGCCTGAGTCACGGCACCAACCTCGCATCCAGCCCCATTCCCGGTGCTGGCTAGCGAGTACTCTATTCCTTTTTATGATTTCCTAATATCCAATGGTGCCTTATGCCTTAAAATATTCTATATTATTCACGCCTTTTCGCGTTACTAAGCGTCGAGGGGTGGCGACGAAGGTCAATTGTAGTGCCTGGCACTACAACTTCCCCCCTGCTAACGGACAGAAACCGCTTGCCGGTTTTTACGGTTCCGGCCCTTCTCCTCATTCTCTCCGTTCCTCACGCTTCACAACAATCTCGGAACGTCCCACACGTCAGGGGCTGTGGGGCCATTGGCTAGTACGTTAAATCGGCCGACCTTCTAGGGGGTGGGCCAGCCTTCCCTGACTAGGAATTAGGTCTTCACGGATCTCGGCAGGTGCGTTATCATTCTCCGACCACTCTTACTCCTTACCCAGCCCTTCTACTCGTAGACGTCGGTGTCCTCGGACGTCCTGTAGTCCACTAGTAGTCGTCTAGCCCTCCCTTAACATGATACTAGTGACATTGGTCCCTTGAAAGTAAGCAGCTGGCAGAGTCTTGGATTGTAAGGTGCTCCTGCACCCCTTCCCCCCCTTCCCAGGACGAGGACGGGCGGGCGAACGCGTATAAAGAGATAGGGGCGAGAGCAGCGGAAAGGGAAGAAAAAGGAGAAGAGGAAGGAGAAGAAGAAGAAGAAGAAGAAGAAGAAGAAGAAGCAGGAGAAGAAGAAGAAGAAGAACGTCGTCAGGATGGATGGCGTTTGCGCTGGCGGCGCCGCCACGCCCGAAGTAAGGCGGGACACCCTGCCAAATGATGTGCGGGTTCCCATGCGGCCTCTTCCTCGGGAACACCCCGCCACTTAACAAGATAGTGCGCCTCATCTCCAGTCCCTCTTTGGTCCAGGATATAGTCAAGATACTGGTCCGTAGGGTTGCCGGCGTCATCGCGTGTTGGTGGCCAGCCCATTGGAGCTTCGTGTGGAACTAGAGCGGATCGCGGGGATGATGTGGGACCAATTGTGAAACATGAAAAACATTGTGTCCCTCGTATGTGGGGGGCAAGGCAAGACGGTAAGCGACCGTGCCAATGCGTTCGGTCACTGTGAAGGGCCCACGGTATTTATGTTCAAACTTAGAACAATGGTTAAGAGCAGGTAAGTGTTTGCCACTAAGCCAGACTTGGTCGCGCACCTTATATTCCACAGCCCTGCGGCGGGCGTCAGCGTAGTATTTCTGACGCCACTTTGCCTGGAGGATGTGGCTCCGTGTGCGATCGCAGAGCTGCCGGAAGAGTTTAGTCATAGGGGGAGTGGGCGTAGGAGCCACAGCACCAACAATGTCTAGGTCCGCTGCGTTTAAGGGATTCTCCCCAATCATGATTTCGAAAGGGGAAAGCTCAGTAGAGGAATGACTGGTGGTGTTATACGCTAGCTCCAAGGCAGGCAGCAGGCGTTCCCACTCCCTCTCATCTGTCTGGATGTACGTGCGTAGCATCTGTTCAAGGGTGCGGTTAACTCGCTCGGTCTGGCCATCCGTTTGCGGGTGGTAAGAAGAAGACATCGCCCGGGTAATATTGAAACGTGAGCACAATTGCGACCACACTTCCGATTGGAAATGAGGACCCCTGTCGGAAACGAGGACGTCGGGGAAGCCGTGGTAGCGGATGAGACGGTCAGCAAGGAGCTCTACAGTGTCACCGGCTGAGTGGGACTTTTTGGCCGGAATAAAGTG